CTTTCATTATTTCTCTGTTAGTAGCTCGTGACTTTTCTTTTCCAACAAGTGACCTGTTTACAATTTAATTTTAAAATGTTTTAACATGAGTTACGAATAACCTGATCATGTAAACAGCAAAACTAACAACCTTTACTGACTGATTCACCTAACGTGCATTGGAGAAAATACTGTGATTTCCGTCGTACTATAAAATTTTCTTCCTTATGAAATGACTAGCTAGCGAATAAAGTTTAGCAGGGACAAACGGAGCCGCCAGGAGGATTTCTGATTATTCGTATGCGGTTATCACGTTGTTCAAACACGTCACGTGTTTCGTCTAGTCAATAAAGAACGAGATTGGTGCACAGCTTGAATGCGGGAGACATCAGGTGCCCACTAGAGGCTTCTCTACCATCATAGTTCACGCACGCCACCTATCCACACTGCCCTGTAAAAACTCTGACACAATCTAAGCTTCAAAGGAGAAAGAGGGTACCTTTTAGTCCACAATCACTGCAGACTAGAAATTTATTGTCTCCATTCTCCGGCGCCCTTTGGTGGCAGCGGCAACAGACATCTGCTTCGGTTGAAGTGGTCTCCTCAACCCGTTCCTTCTTGGGTGATTCTGAGGCAGATGTGAAAACTGAATTGGCCGTATCGGCGCTTGGGGGAATGATGGATGCGGACGAGGTCTCTGTTACACCATCGACAGGAGCAGGGACAACACCAGCGGTTCCTACAGTGGCAGTGACGGCTACAGCAGGTGTTGGCATTGCAACCGTCCCTGCTGCCGCTGCTGCTGCCGCTACTGCCGCTGCTGATACCGCGGTTGTATCAGGTTGGAAGGTAGTCGTCACCATTGTATCAGGAGCCACGGCGAATACCGTGGGATTGTAGAGCCCTGGATACATCATCATGGCGGTTGGAGCACCAGTTGCACCCCCCGAAGAAGCCGGTGGTGGTGGGGGAGGTGCAAGAGAAAGAGTTGGCATCGGAGTTGCGGACACCATGACTGTCCCATCCAAGGGGACAAAGGCTGTCGTCGATGCTGTTCCTGGAACCGTCTCGATCTTCAAACGCTGAAAGACGAAAAATGAATGGAGCATTCATGGAACCGATATAAATTTACCTTA